GTTCTTGCTGGTTGCGCCCTGGGGACCGATAGCTTTCTACTTTCTATATAGGATTCAAAAGTGACGTTCGGCACCCGGCCGCGGCGGAGCAGCCGCCCTTGGCAAGACGCACAGCAAACCCAAAGGGAGAAAGACCAGGGATAGGCAAACTGTGACAGACGCAGGCGCACATGGGCATGGACAGGCCGGGGATTGAACCCGGCCCCTCTCGCATGCTGAGCGGGGGTGTGATGCCACTACACCAACTGCCCCTGAGCTGAGGAGGCCGAGGGTGCTCAACTACCTGCTGGGCACAGCTTTCAGCGCTGAAGCTCTGTCACGGCCAGCCCGTTCGGCCTGTTTTCTTCCTATCTGCTGCCGGCGCACGCTCGCTGTGGGCAAACGAGTGCGGCCTGGAAAAGATCTCAAGCACCTGCAGGGCACAGTTTTCAGCGCTGAAGCTCTGTCACGGCCCGCCCGTCCGGCCTTTTTTCTTCCTTTCTGCTGCCGGCGCACTCCTTTGGTTGGTGCTCGCTGTGGGCAAACGAGTGCGGGCCCGCCCGTTCGGCCTCTTTTCTTCCTTTCTGCTGCCGGCGCACTCCTTTGGTTTCTTTCCTTTTCCTTTCTGCTGCCGGCGCACTCCTTTGGTTGGTGCTCGCTGTGGACAAACAAGTGCGGCCTGGAAAAGCGCGGGAAGCGAAGCTTTTGTGGCTGGCCGCTCCCTCTGGACCGATAGCCTTACTGCATATTGGACTCAAACGCGACGTTAGGCACCGGCCGCGGCGGAGCAGGCTGCCGGCGCACTCCTTTGGTTCGTGCTCGCTGCGGCGAAGCAAGTGCGGCCTCCAAGCGCGCTGGACGCGAAGCTGTTCTTGCTGGTTGCGCCCTGGGGGCCGATAGCTTTCTACTTTCTATATAGGATTCAAAAGTGACGTTCGGCACCCGGCCGCGGCGGAGCAGCCGCCCTTGGCAAGACGCACAGCAAACCCAAAGGGAGAAAGACCAGGGATAGGCAAGCTGTGACAGACGCAGGCGCACATGGGCATGGACAGGCCAGGGATTGAACCCGATCCTTCTCGCATGCTGAGCGGGTGTGATGCCACTACACCAACTGCCCCTGAGCTACTGTACTCGAGCCTCATTCCCCAAATGCACCGTACAAACAAGCAAGCAAGCAAGCAAGCAAGCAAGCAAGCAAGCAAGCAAGCAAGCAAGCAAGCAAGCCTGAACCAGCCAAAAGCCGCTGCCAGAACAAAAAAAACCTGGGCTGGCCCCCAGTCAGTGGAGGGGTCGGCGGCACTGGGCGGCAGCCCTTAAATACAGTTTGACTTGGCCTGTCGACTCGACTGCCAACGTTTTGTGAGCGGCCAGGGCGCACACCTGAGCGGCAATGGTCAGGAACAATGTCAGTGGTGTGTAACGGGAGTCAGTGCAATACTGTTCTTCAAACCTGCAAAGATTCCGGCCTTCTAGATTTGAACAGGAGTTGACTTGAGTTGGAGACACAATTTTTTGGACTCAATCCGCCGGCACTGCCGGCGTGTCTTGTGGATGTTCTTGTATGTGTAGTCTTGTTTGTGTTTTAGTGCTGTGTTGTAGAATTGTTCTTTGCGCATCAACTATGAAACCTTTGCAGTTGCACAGCACAAGTCCACTGCGCGCACTGAAGCTGGCAATTCCTTTCAGTGTTTTCAAGGGAGGACTTGCAGTGAAAGGCCCAGATGGCTCGTTTACCGGTGTGAAACATGCGCTGCTCGTTATCCTCCTAGCTTTGGCTCAGCCGTGGCTGAAGAATTCGCCAAATGGCTTCATTCATAACTTCACGCGTCTTGAGCCTCTTTGAGCCTGAGCTCTGCTTGCGCGCAGGGGTTGATTGGCGGACCACAAAAACATTGTGACTTGTCTGTCTGCGAGCGTTGCACTGCTTCTGAGTGTGAGCCATTTGAGACAACCAAAAAAAATAAATTGAACACTGCCACTTAATTTTCCAATGTTTTGAGAACGGTGTGAGCAGCACTTCAACTGACCGATGCTGCCTGACAAGTTGAATTTGAATTGATAACCGCTTGGCCACTGTCACTGTAACTTGTCCTGACTGATTGATAAGTAGCCATGTTGGGTTTGCCAGTCCAACGCATGACAGGTTCCTCCCTCCTTCACCTGTAGCCGAGCACATGTGCTGAATGACATGACATTGCATGCCTTGCAGCAGAATTGCGCTGACGGTGATTGCCCTGTGCCAAGGCCAATGTCGGCGGAGGATATATCATTTGACACGTGACCAAATGACATATGACAAATTAGTCAAACAAGGTCTTGAGTAATGTTGAAACTTCATGTCTCTTAAACTAGGTGTTTATCAGGATGGGTTTTCTCAAAATCACATCGTTTTTTCTCGAAAGATGTATCTTTTTCTCGACCCTGTTAAGAACAAACGATTGCACCGTAGTGCTGAGAAATTAAGAGGTACCTGCTTTTTGTGAAACCATACTGATCTAAACCCTGCTGGTTGAGTACCTGACTTCTTTTATCGTACAGCGCACGGGCATCCACCACCACGATGCTCTCACCTGCTCTCTTCGCGGTCTCATCAGATCTCAGATCTTGATGGGGATTAAGCAGCAGGGAGTAGAACACCTCGGTAACGTACAACTCGTCCACCGCCGTTGCGCACGCTTGGCTCTCTGCAGACAGCAAACTCCAGCACACTCGCATCAACTTAAAGGACCGCCAGCTCATGATCGCGTACTTCATGCGCTTGCCGCGCCACTTCTGCTTCTGCAAGATGCCCGCGCCCTTCTCGCGCCAGTAGTATACGATCTGCCCGACCACCACTTCATCATTGATCTGCTTGTAGTTCTGATTCATCGCCCTTCTCAACTTCGCGTCGGAGTCCGCCCGGATGAAAGATTCCTCTGCACGTTCGCGAACTCTCCAGCCATGTCAAGGGCGTCCACCGTTGGGCTAAACAAGTCGCCCGTCAAGCTCTGCCCCTGATTTGGGGAGCGGCCCATGACGCACTGAGTCGGCGTAAAGCCTTTTGTCATGCTCATGCCTTTCACCTGGCCAGACACGTAGATGCATGCCTTCCCGCAGTCCTCCATGAACAGCTCCAAACTGCATCTCACCACCTGATGTTTTCTCTCCACCGCACCAAGCCAGTTCTGAGCCTCGGCAGAAACCTATCTCCAGCGCAATATTCCAATCGCTGGCCCATTCTCGCAAAGCCTCGCTCCCTTGGCCTCGTCGGTCCGGAGGTAGCGCGGCACGCCGAACTGCCTGATCCAGGCCCTCTCAATTCCTTTGATTCACTCTTCTGCTCTCTCAGCCTTCAGGATTCGCACCGCGACAAGCCATGTTGATCCATCACCAGGCGGTCGTTGAATCCTTGGCCACGGTTCCACTTGCTGGTGGTACTCCTCCAGGCTTCTGAAGAGCCACGCAGCTCGGGCAGAGGTTCTTCTTGGCGGTCTTGATGACGTTCTCCGACGCCTGAAACCTCCTGCAACATCTTCACCAGAATCTCGCTGGACGGATGGCCCAGACTCTTGCGCAGCCTCTTGACGTAGTTGAAAGCCTAACCTCGGCTCTCAGTCTCCGGTTCTTCTCGACGCTTTCATCCTCGGCTTTCTGTTCCACGCTTCGTTCTTGATCTCCCTGATTGCCACCTTCGGGAGCGAACCTCCTTATGGTGGATCTGAACCTTCACCAACGGCCCACACCTCCATCCAGCTCCTGGGGCTTTGCCATCAGCTCTGCCAGCTTCTGCGCCAGCTTCACCGGTTCATCTTTGTCCTGGCTCCGTGACCGCGGCGCCATTGCCTTCTGGAGGTTGATGCTCATGCCTTCGGTCACACTCCATCCACAAGCCTTGTCGTGGTCATCCGGCACCTTCAGCTCATAGCCGCCGGGGAGGTGACCATCCGTCCGTAGCTCCACCAAGCGTTGCCGGTGTTCATCACTTCGGCTGGCAGTCAGCTCTTGCATCGAACTCCAAATTTTGCACATTGGGGCCATCAGGATCTCGTCTGGCTCTTCCTTCTTTAGCAGCCCCATGAACTTCTTTTGGCACTCTGTCTCTTCGAAGTTCCATCCGTTCTGAATCGAAAACACACGGGACGTCACGTTCTCCGCGCGGTTGAGGAACTTGCTGGTTTGGCCTTCTCCGACAAACAACTCCCAGACCTTGCGTACCGGTCTTCCGTTCTCGCACGTCTTGGCCTCCCGCAAAATGCGGTTTCTCCTTGCAACGGCGCCCTCTGCGTCCCGCACCATCTTCTTGGGCATCGGGGCTGTGAGCTTTCTCGCTTTTTCACTCGAATTCTCATCCTTGCAGCCTATCACGAACCTCACCTTCGCGGTGTCCTTGCCCTGCCGCCTCGGTGTTCTGGACCTTCGGCCTCTGTCAAAGGGTCATATCGGAACCCAGCATCCAGCCTGTCAAATATCAGGTCGAAACCGTTTGTCTCAGCCAGGCTCTCGATGTTGAGGTCTTCCACCAAGTCCCACCCCCGGCCTGTCAACATCGTGATGATGTTATAGGCGGTTTCCTTGCTGCGTCCTGCCAGGGTCATCTTCTGCCTGTAGATCTCGCACCGCTTCCGGAACTCCTTGTAGTCCCGCTGTCGGCTCGGCCTGGCGCTCCGGTCCGGCTGCTCTCACCCTGGTCCGCTTCTGGCATGGCCTCAAAGCTCCTCCTCCGAGCGAAGCCTCTTCAGGCTCCCGCTACCAGCAACAGGAGTTGGTTGAACACTCTCCGTGCAGTCCTCAAACCATGGTTGAAAGGGGCGTAGCGCCTTTTTGGGTATCGAGCCCGCCCAACGCGGTCGGTATGTGTTTCATGTGTTTGGCAAACACTTCACAGGTTCCATTTGGGACGCCAGTTTTCGTGGCGTCCAGTCACACATGTTTGGCAATTCCCAAATCTCCCAAACAATTGTCTCGCATCCCTGACCCTAGAACACTGGAACCGGATTTGAACAAACGCCAGCTTCCACATCTCCGACTCTGGCCTTCACCTCTCGGAACTGCCGCAGCTCTCTGGCCATCTCCGAGTCCGTGATCGCGGCCACGGGCTCAAAGAGCATCATCGCGTCCTAGGCAAAAAAAAACACTTTCACCGGCGGATGGAAGCTGTCACAGAGCTCCCCTAACTAAAGTCCCTTAAACAGCGCTCCAGGTTGAATTTTGACGCTCAGCATTTATAGCCTGGCTTTCCGACCGGAAACCCCCTGCCTCCAAATTGAATGGAGAACAGGGCGTTACAAACATCGCCTCAGATTCTGACCCAGACATCCCATACAAAAACGCGCAGCACACAGCCCTTCTCACCAAACGGAACGGTTCCGGCCAGCCTCATAGCGTTGCAGCAGCTGCTTCCTCTCACAGGGACTGCTCCAAACCGACATTGGTTTGGGGTGGCCTTGGATAACCGATCTTCAGTCCTCTTGGTGCATCAAATGAGAAAACAGTGTCTTGACAAGGATGTTCCTAAACTCAGAATCTGTTTGGTTGACTCCTTTTCGTTTCCATGAAAATCTGGTGCTGTATTTGTTGGTCTCACATTGCATGTTGGTTCTTCCTGGTTGCGAGAGAACACAGGCTGGAGGGGATGAAAGGCAAACAGCGGACAATCTGACCCCCCGGCTTTGTAGCTAAAAACTCCTGAAGGGAAAGTTGTAAAATGCCACGAGCACAAGCATTCGTGAGCGTTTCCTAAAATGGCGACCCGAAAAAACCTTTGGGTGCCCTCTAAGTTTCCATTTCAATATCGTTCAAACAGCCTGGGTTTCCTCTACTTGCAACAAGGAAGGCGAAACTTGTGGTCCTTTCTACTGGTCTGAGAATGAATGGGGTTGTCGGGGTCCATGTTGCCAGGCAGGAAGGTAGTTTTTTTTTCTGGTGACTGATTCTTAAGAGAGGGGGCGCGCTGCCATTTCCCAAATACGGCCATGCAGAGAAGGTTTGCATTCCCTTTCAGGGCAGTTGCAGCTGAGTTAGCGCGCCTTCCCACTGATGGGAGCCTAGGACTCCCTGGCTGATTCACAGGTGGGGTTGAAATCTTGTACTGATTCAGATCATAGCAACAAAAGCCGTGGGAAACTTATCACCTTACTGGTCCTTTTCTCGTCACTCATTGTTACTAAAGGGTTGATATAGCTTTGTCCCTCCCACATGGACCATAGACGCCACGCGGACTCCGGATTTTGACCTCATCTGACGGAAGGCAACTACGGATGGCGGGCCCGGGTTTTCGGTCCTGTTGCCATGGGAGATGCTCAAAGGCAGCAAGGGGAGGGCCTGCCGCAGCACGCCCAAGATGATGACGAGCGTGTCCACCCCGTGGGGCAGCATCACCACCTCGACGTTTTGCCCCGCATTGTGTCGGAATTGCGAAAAACACCTTGAAAGCATGACCAAATCCCAACTAAACTCCCGGTATCATGCTAGTTCTAGGTGAACTGGGGAAAAAAAGAAAACGGGTTCTTGTTTCCTTTCCGCTCGTGTGACCCGGCTATAGACTGTGGGCTTTTGGGGATGGAAGGGACTGTCTTCAAGCTGCAACGCAGCAACAAGAGAACACCGGTTGAGATTGCAGCAAACCAAAAGTCAACAAAGAAGGCTGGAACACTTATCAGCACAAAACGAGCAGCACGGGCAGGTGATCTGTCCAGCTTTGTCGTTTGCGTCCTTGCCAACATCTGATGTGAAGGGCTTCTCGAGCAGTTGGCTCGAGGTGGAGACTGGATGCTCAGATGTCATGAGGCACTGCCTTGCACCGCCCCTCAATGTGACGCACCGGTTGCACTCCCAGACTTTGCAAGGAGGAACTTCTTGCACGATCACCTGTTACAAAGGTCAGCGGCAGAGGGCGGCAGCCTTTGGCGAGTGAGAGAGAGTGAGTGAGTGAGCGAGTCAGTGAGTGAGTGAGTGCGCAAGTGAGTGGGTGAGTGCGTGAGCGAGCGAGCAAGTGAGTAGGTGAGCGTGAGTGGGCACACTGAATTGTGCCATAAACTACGTGACCTGTGCATCTTAGGCCGCGCGTTTGACCCCCAATTATCTGGCCCCGACGCCCGAAGTGCAAAACCCTTGTTGGAGCCAAAGTAGATGGCACAATGCTATTGTTTTGCGCCCTGAGTTCCCCAGGTTGTGTAGTAAAGATGAGAAATAAAATGTATAAAATGTAATTTGATTGTGTTATCTTCAAATACTACATTGTATATTTTAGTGGAAACTGTATTTATGAATATTCAATCGCATAAACAAAATATAAATATCAAAACACTTATATATATATAGAAATGTCAGAAAATGAAAGTTTTACAGTCAAGGCTTTAATGAAAAACTTGGAATTATTACTCAGAATGTTCAAGCATTGTCAGAACTTGTTAACACTATTGATGATAAAGAAATCAACCGAAAAGCAATAAAGAAGACGATAAAGAGAAGACGGATAAAAACTTTGAAAAGAAACAGATGGGGCGTCCGTCTGGAAGCTTTCAAGACAAGCAAAAGCAAGATATGGATTTGTTAAACAAGAATAAAATTAAGTGTCTAAAGCAAGACACTATTGAATTTTATAGCCTGTTTAAGAATGAACATAGCAAATATGAAATAGACGAATAAAAAAACTCCTTAAAGAACTGACCCCTCTATATAGTAGAGAAATAATGACTATCTTAAAATGTGAGTGTCATATTACAGAAAACGGATTTTGAACAAGAAGCCAGAAATGAAAACGGTTTGATTGAAAGAACGGGGAGGATACAAGTCATTTTACTTAATATATCCCAAACATATCTCAAGTAGTTTAGCACTATTTCTACTATGCTATTAAATAGTGTCCGTAGGGTAAAGAACTTATACTACTGCAAAAAAGTCTTTTGCTTTCGTATGCTGATAATGCTTGTTTTGTTTGTTGGCTGCCGTATATTTGATGCGCTTTACTTCTTATGCTGTTGAATGTTACAGTTTCACAATTTTTCAATGTGTCACCATAAGAATTATCTGACAGTTCCTTCTTCACCTTATGTTTTACTATTCATTTGCTCTTCTTTTCTTCTTTCTCTTCATTGTGTATCGCTATACTTTTTGCATCTGCTTCATCCTTGAATTTCCCTAACACCTTAACACCTTTTTATTGGACTTATCAAAAGCATTGCTGTTGTGGATCATAACCACTGAAACCCACAAAGGATTTAATATCATTAAAGTCACCATATACATCTTCTGTTATAATATGTCATACAAAACTGTCAGACTCGGTATATAACATTCTTATTTCATTTCCATATTTCGGTTTCAAAATGTCATAGTAAAATTAATACATATGTTGCTTTGATAAATCTAAAATACTCATTCCTGCATGTACCTTTTTTAGTTTAACTGCACTTTTTGCCTTCTCAACTCCTACAAGAGATTCATAGATGATATGTCTGTAATTGACATTAGGATTGTGAACACATCTTGGGTAGCGTTCAGGAGTATCAACCAGTTCAAAGTCAATATGGATCCGTACATTTTCCATCGCTTTTCCATACACCGATTATTCATTAGGTTATACCTTTCTTTCTCAAAATCACTTGTAGCGTTCTTTGGCTTCTTTGTGTTGAAGTCAATCCACGGTTTCAACCATTGCTTGTGTCTAAACTCTGTTACTCTGTCTATTTTCTTGATGTCCAACCCTTGTTGAAGATAGAGCTTCAATATGTGAAACACAATTTTGCTTATCCATTACATTTAGTATTAATGTGTTTGTTTTCTAGCTTTGTTAAAACGATATGCTTTGTAGGTTTCCTTCTGGTAGTCCCTTAGCATATCTGCTGTTACATTCATAATCTCCGGTGCCAGTGGGTAATCAATATGTTTGTCGTGGCATTGTGTTGAATATTCTAAATCAACATCTAGAATGTATCCTTTGTTGCTATATTCACTGTTATGATATTTAATGTCTTCTTCTATACAGTTATCTGTTACATATCTGATTTTTTAACGGTAGTTTCTTACACATTGCCGGACCGTAAAGATTGTTGGCGTCTAAATCATTGATGTAGGATGACGGTTTCTCATATGAATCATAATCATCTCCCATATACTTCTTTGCTACTGCTTTTCTCATTGAAACCTTACACATTCTACCTCTCAACCCCTTGTCAACCATATTACACAGATCTTCATCGTGTAAAAGTTCAAGTTCAATCCCTGTTTTTAACAGCATCGCATCCACAGAAAAGTTAGGTAATTAATGTGCACGAAGGGTCTAATTCATAGTCTGTTAGACATTGTTTCTGAAATTTTCATATAGATCCGTTAATAGCAATACATTGGTTTCTAAATACACATCGTGATATTCACCAAGGCTTTTAATGTTAAAATGTGTCCATATTAGGTTTGCTCTTTCATAGTCAGCATCGCTTAAATCTTCTTCACTCAATCTGCTAAAAAATGTTTCTTTTCTTGTAGTTCAGTTTCCTTAAACTTGTTGAAGTCGTTACAATAATCATAAGGATAAACTCCCCTTTCTGTCAGTAAAAACAAATCTTCTTCATTCTTAATGCACTTGTCTTTGAAACTGTATTTGACATGTTCCTGCCAGTTGTCCCTTAGTTTATTATCTTCATACTTTGTTAATTTAACAAGTTTTCTAATGATGGTGACAAGAAACTGAAACTGTCCTTAGATTCAAGTCTGTTTAATGAAAATGTAATCAACTTCTCACTGTTCTGCGCTATAACTCATATGCTTTCTTTGTGTTTAAATTTTGAAGGTTAGACATTATCAACTGAACATGGTAGTTTAAAGATTATGAAAGAAACCAGGGATATGATACTTTGTAAAGCAAAAGTCAATATTACATTTCATATGTGCGGTCGGCGACCTTCTTTCTATGCTTTCTACTTTGTTGTTGAAAGTGCCAGTACATAACAAACCGTTTTTTGCTTCTAAATGTTTGATTTCATCTAAATCTGATAAAACAATATCTTTTTGTCTTTTCATGTGTTCCACAACATCGTTTTTACTATTATTCAAAGTATCCCAAAATTTATCAGTACAATCTTCACCTCTGTATAAATGAGGTTTCATTCCCCCACTATAAGCATTGACAAGGTTAAGCATAAAACCGCTGAGTTGTCCCTTTAATAGCATCTGATGTTGCTGTTGCTAAACATTCACAATCACCGTAAATAACAAAATGGTGCTTTCAGTTTCTCAAAACGCTGTTCCTTCTTCTGGTAATTCAGTGTGTTGAATTTCATTTGCCACGCAACCTTTTGTTAAGTCAGAATTTAAAAGTTTTCTGACTTATGACCGTCCTGACAGTATTTACCAAAGGAACATTTGATTAGTTGTTTTATTGCTCTGACTTCCCATCAATCTGCTAAAAGCTTTGGTTCAAACATAGTGTTCGCAAAGCTTGCCAGCCTCTGGTGAAGCATCGTTACAATTTTTCAACGCGGAAGAGATTGATATGACAAGACGGTCTTTCAATCTTCGTTACTGGTTCTCATTCATCTTCAACATAAACATTAATTGAAACTGAGTTTTGGTTAATTGTTTCAAATGCGTCAATGTCATCATTGGATGCTGGGAAACTTACAGAATCTCATTTAATCAAGCTTTCAGTCGTCAATAATTTCTTGTAGAGTCTCATATGCTGCGGTTCATAAGATTTACATAAAACACTGTATTTAGAACAAAATTCATCTTCGTTATGAATGTTAATACACGCCATTTTAGTTGAAATCCATTCTGGTAGCGCCATACATTTTCCTGCTCTGTTTGGATTGTACTTGTCGTAGAGGATGCTTCTTTTTAGCTTTGTTAATTCTCAGTCCTGAATGTCTCAATGGTGAGTTTTCAACTTGTAGTTCAATGTCCTTAGACATATTGCCAAGTGCCTTTTTTAAGTCAGGAACGCTTAAAATGTTGTATCTCCTGGCTCTCAGTTTGATACTTATGTGTTCATCATCTTCATCTTCGGTAGATATGCCAAGCGTGTTCACTGCACTGAAACCGTTTTCTGAGTCATCACCACCTACATTAACTTTATCAAACATAACATCAACATCAATATGCTACTTGTAAACACTCTGTTAGTTTGTGTTCTTGCCATTTTAAAACGTGAACCGTATCCTTTGAACGGAAAATAGGAAATTGAATAGGTGCTGGCGTATCTCTTCAATGCTGAAAATGTCTCTGATGTTTTTGCTGCTGCTCTAATCTTTTTTGAAGATTAAGTTGATTGAAACCCTGTGCGTGGCTGACTTGATTGAGTGTGCTTTGAAGTGTTGTTGTAATAGTATTCTTTGTTGTTGGTGATTAGTTTTTCTATGGTTTGTTGTTCTTCCCTGTTT